TACCTTCTCCAGTTAATTGCCTCAACTCTCCAATTTACACCTCTCAGTATTTGGCAAGAGTCCTACTTCCCTGCCAGTTTTCCCTTCCCTCCTTCATCCTACCTGTAAATTATTTCCTTGTTCTTCCTAACATAGCTGACTTTATTAATCAATTTTGTTTTCTATTTCTGAACTCCTTCCCCTTTTTCTAAAAGATTCCTCAGACTCAATAAATTAATACATATTAATATAAAACCAAAAACTTCATTTTCTTGGCAGACTTCACTGCACCCAATATGGTTTCATCGACACACACCTTCATGCAGTGCCTTTGGATACAATGCACTTTTTCTTCTGCAAGTTTGTACTGAAGGGAGGAAGCAGAGACTCCTGCACCACCTCTACGAGATGGAGACCAAAGTGGATTTGTGACCCTGCTGCCCTTTCCATGCTGGCACATTTGAACATTTTCTCCTGTTCCACCTCATGGACCCAACATTTAAATCTCCATTAAGCTGCTTTCCCGAAATCTTTCTACCAGCACAGTCTCTTTACCATCCACATTTGAAATTAACCTTTAATGGTGAGTCTCTAGGGTCTTAATCAGCCTGTTAACACTGGCTGTGTAAATATCCAAACCAGTCTAAAATCATGCAATCATTATCCAGTATAGTCAAAGTAGATGCTTTCTGAAGAGTTATTTCTTTCTGGGCATGCACTGACCAAAACTAGAACAAGAGCAGATGTCAAGTACTAAGGTCTGTTGGCAGAGACCTGTGGGCAAGGCTGCAATTTTCCACAATCTTCCAACCTCATTACCTGTGGCAGTAAGCAAGAAAAAAAACCAGCCACAAGTCATGGGAATAAAAAAATTCAGCAAAAGGTGAGCAAGGAATGATAACAGAGAAACATCGAGCTTCATCTAAGACCCTATTAAATGTAGATAGCCAAAAGAAGTTTGATTTTGACAAAAACTAAAAAAACTAAGAAAAAGTGAAAGACGTGTTTCTTTTGGCACCAGAGCTCTGCCTCTCCTTACAGAGGCTCTGATAGCTGGGGACTGTTTACCCACGAGTGCACACACACTCAATTTGTGTTCCATAAGCCCTTCAAAAATGTTGAACTGATCTGGGTAAACGCTGCCATTTTTGCCTTCGCTGGAAGCAGAAATCTTGCAATCACTGCAACATTCTAATCCTGCCTAGAAATTCTACTTTTAAAGCAGACAAATGTAATAAAATATCCGTACCCATTCACACCTCTGCCCTGCACAGTGATTTTACTTATTTCACTTGAAGAAACAGCAGGGATTAGATGGAAAATACAGAAGTAGGGCAATGCAAACAGCCCCAGACCGTATTCCTTGTTCTTCTCTACTGAAATGCATAAAATAGCTTTATGCCTTAATGTGGTTCATCTTTCTGATTAATAAAAGATGAAAATGCATCTCTGCATTATTTAATGTACTCTGTATATCCAACTTCTGCACATGCTTCAAAAGGCTCTTCAGTTCCTGCCCTCTCCAGAGCAGCATTCAGGTAACTCAGTCAAAAAGGTCCTAGGCAGCAGTGGCTGCAGGGCCATGGCAGCTTTACGGGATGTATTCATTTATGTCTAACTTGTCCTTAAAAACCTCCAGCGATGGATGCTGCGGCATGCCCGGGCAGCCTCCTCCCCTCCTCACACATCTGCATAAGAAGTTTTTCCTAATTTTGCTTTTGAAATTCCCTGCAAATAGAAACAGTTGCTTCTCTGTGGATGTGAAGAACAACTGAGCACTGCCCTTGCAATGTACTCCCTAACACCTGCCCTCTAATTCATTGCGAGAAAGTATGAGAAATGTTTCGTGTTGCTCCTGGTTTCTCTTCAGGGCTGTCACACTATCATAACTTTGTTACTGACGTAACACGGCGCAAGATGAAAATTAAGCCTTTCATCTCACACCATCACACACCCTCTGAAGTTCTGGCTTAGGCGGACACCTTTCATATCAGGCCCTGGAAACATTTACCCTGAGGTTAACCTTTTATACCTTGCAGTGGTTAGCTTTTTGCTGGGCCCGCACAAGCCTTTTTGCTGCTTCCACAGATAAAAAAATTGTTGCCCTCCCTCAACATCACGTATTCTGCCCTGAGAAAATCAAGGCTGTGCCTTGCCTCGTTGCCAGCCAGCTGCTCCCAAATCTTGCTATGCTGCCGAGGAGTGGCTGAGCCAGTCCTGCAAGTGGCCATCCCAGCCTCTTCGGTAGGAGACGTGCACAAAGCCCTGCAGGAGCTCAGCTGGACCTCAGCCGCTTCTTTCCCCAAAGCAAGATAAAGCAAAGAAGCTGATGAGAGGTGTCCTACCTGTGGGGAGACACTGGCCCTGGTTCTTGTGGAGCTCAGGACTGTTCCCATCTGCTTTCCTTTCACCAGACACTAATGTTGTCTTTGATTTTTGCTACTTGCTTTGTTTGTTGTTGTTAAAGATGTTCTTTTGTTCCCTACCTTCTCGCACAGGTCTGTCCATTCATACAAATCCTGATTTTTCTGTCTGCAGGTACAGAATTTAGCTTAATTGCATAATTAAGATGTCCACCCTTGACTTAAAGCCCCTATACAAATCACATGAAAAGTACACGCTGAAAATTTCCTAAGTCTGCAGGATTTACAGCTGAGAGAACTAAGTATATCATAATAGCACAAGTTATGAACTTTCAATCAAAATGAATGCAAATATCACAAAGCACATAGACCTTCCCTATGCAAAGGTACATTGGTAATAGAGGTTTAGAGACAGAGTTAAGGTTAGTGGGGATAGAACCTCGTATTTCCACAAAACATACTAATAAATAAATAACTTCAAAATTATCTTACTTTAAAATTATCTAACTAAATCCAGTTTGCTACTGTTATTTTTTAAAACAAACTTTTCATTCCCCTCTTCTGTTTCAAGTTATGACCAGTTATTTACAGCTCAAGCTCTGCTTCAGTTAATTGTTTTGTCTAGAAATACTAATTAGAGATCAGCAATTTCCACCGATGTCAGTACCACAACAAATCTTAAGGAAGAGCCTAGAAACATGCTTCTACCTTTTTTTCAGAGACTCATACAGCTTTCAGAGTGACCTTCTCATACTGAGTTCATATTGACTCAGACATCCTTCATTCCTCTATATTAGCATTTCTAAATCACAGAAATGACATCAAAGAAACCGTAAGGGTCTGACTTTTATCACCAAAATAAATTCTGATATAATGTACTCTTTGCAATACTTAGGCACAATAGGATACATGATTAGAGCACAGTAGAGTTAACAGTATACCCATCGTGCCTTGTTAACTGAAGATGCATGGTACACTCCCACTTAAAATTTGAACTTTGCAGCTTTTATGGGTTTAATTTAGACTCTGGGGTCTACATATGCATTGAAGATTGGACACATAACACCCGTGACTGTTAAAAGTGGCTGCATACACAATCACTGATGTTTAATACAGAAAATTAGCTTTTTCTAATTTCATTTCTGATTACAATATCTTTTGTTTCAAAAAAAACCCCTAGCCCGCAGTTTAACTAAAATGTCCTGAAAATGACAAATGTTTGATTTTTGCGTTAATGGCATGACTCTGAAAGAAGCAGAGCAAAGCGCACCTAAGCACATGGGAACTTGACTGAAACCATTATGGCTACTTATACCCACCAGGATAAGGACATGCTCAAATGCTTTTCTGGATTGGGACCAGAATCCAGTAGAATCAACCCCTAAGACCTAATTTTGAGTGCAGACATGCGCGCAGATTTTAGGTGGGTTAAGAGAGACTGTTATTAAATTTGTTTGACAGATCCCTATTTAAGATGCAGATTTTACACACCAGATGCCTGCCTGAAGCTGAATATTTCAGGGGGAAAAAAAATCAAACAAAATGGTTGGATCATTTCTGAGAAAATACATAATTTGATCTGAGATAACCTAACTTCTGAGTTTTTTAATTTGCAAACTTAAAGTGTACCCCCTCATACTTCTTAGCAGCTCCATAAGTAAAATACAGAGGAAGATATCTTAGTGTCTTATTTGTGGGTATATCATGTGTGTGTTCATGCCATAGGTTGAAAGCACGCACTGTTTTAAAATGTAAATTTATTTTTAGTTATTAAATTAAATTCCAGGAGTAAAAATACTTTTTAGATTTATATATACAAATTTGATCTCCAAAATGATATATATATATTCACTGTCCCTTGTTAAGAAAGAGCCAAAACCATCTCCTTCATATAACATTCATTCATTAAGCCTAAAAATGCCTGGTGTTGCCTGATGCAAATAATACAAGCAAACCTACGAAATCTGTTTTTTAATTAAAAGCCCATTTTGTGATCTGGCAATGTGAAATAAACGGCTATCAGACTGTTAAGTCTGACAATACTGAATTGGCTCTTTGTCTATGGCACAGATTTCACACTTATCTGCATGCTTAAGTGCTGCGCTGGACAGAAACTAAATGCCAGTCAACCTTCCAAAACAAACCCGCAGGGGACCTGGACAAATGCTTGGTATATCAGTGAGTTCGCTCTAATAAGATGCTACATCAGATTAACGAAGAACTATCCCATTTGCATTCAACAGAAACAGACAGTAATTCTGTGGCGATTATTTCACACAAGTCAATGCTCTGGTATCTTAAAAAACCCTGCAAAACCCAGCAAATGATGAGAAGGGCGAGCCATATGCAGGTCAGCCTTACACAAGGGTCTGCGTAATTTGGCTATCAATGAAAGAACTCTTTTTTTGCCGCTGGATCTGCTCAAAACGGGTTTGTTACAGGCAGGGTTTGTTCCAATGAACCCGGGCTGCAGTGCAAACTTAAGTATGATGCCTTGAAAGGCAGGGGGTGATTTTTCGGTCATGGCAATGGTGGTTTTGACTCAAGTTGGAGGAGGAGGAGCAGACCCTCTGTCAATGCCACTGTCAGGCTCTGATGGTAACTGCACACACTCGCTCAATACACAGGCAACTGCTGTGGCAACAGCAAATGCTTCACCTTGCCATGCATGAGAAGGCGTATGGTAAGCGTGACATTGAGACCTCCTTCAGTCACTTTTGTGTCCTTCGTGTTCATCCTGGCCTTGTATCTTCAATACTTGAAAGCAGCTTTGTTTTTCTTTTTTTTTCTATTCACTTTTAACCTACGAAGACAGGGAGAGAGAAAAAGAAAAAGTACCATTGAGTGGCTGAAGCTACTCTGAACTGAGAATATCATGTTGTACAAACCAATTAACATTCCTCCCTTTGATTTTCTGGACTACAGTTTAGTGCTGAAAAGGCTCCTTTGATTATTATCCCTCCCCAACCAACTCTTTAGCCCTTCACCAATTACAAGATAAACTCCCTTCTGAAGCCTTAAAAATTCTTTTAACTTCCTGTATTTCGAAGCTGAAAGTACAGAGCACAATAGAGTGAAATACAATGTTCTCTTCTGAACAGCACTTTCTCTCTGTTATACGCAATGTGTGTATATATGTGTGTATATGCAATATATATATGTGTTTTCACATGTGCCTGGTGCTGTTTTAATTTTTCTCTCTGTTACTACCTCTTTATTTTTTTTTTTTTTTTAGCTCTTGCAGAAGAGATATTTTTGTTTTCTCTCCAGCAGGAGAGAAATTAATTCTGAGCCTAAACACTGATTCCTGCCAGCAACAGCGGATGACACATTATCAAAGACATCTGAGTAACTAAGAGCCACTTGCTGCTGTAAATCTGGGCACTGTCTGACTTTGTTTTTGTCTACGAGGCCCAGAGGTGGCTCAGTCCCTCGAAGGCCAGAGCTGAGCTTCAGCCCTAAGTAGAAGGAAGATTTTTCTTAATTCCTAATGACAAATTGCAGATTTTCAGTCATTTACAAAGCCATAAATATCCTAAAATGCTAATGAAACCTGCAAGGGCTGGCTTTGAAGGGATAAAAAAGATGCGTTATGAGTTTATTAATGCACAGACATTTATCAGTATAAACAAAAATGGGAGCAGGAAAAACTATTACCAAAGGCAGACAAATTCCACAGTAGAGAAGGCTTAGAGACTCCTTATTTGGGTTTGTCCTTTTCAGGACTCTATCTTATAGAGACATCACGCCTCTCAGTAACCATCTCTTATTAATGACACCCTATTAGCTTTGCATCTTGTAGCTTCCCAAAAATTTGGCTAGACTGGGCACTGGCTAATGAGCACCCCTAGGGACAACCATTTTGTGGCTCAGAGCGTACAGCAGTGTCTCACCAGGGTGGCAGGCTATTGTCCCTTTGCAGAGACTGCTCAGGCATGGGACCAAACTACTGGAGGGACCTACGAGATCATTCCCCTAAAAATGCTGGAGGTAGTATCAGGCAGACTGTTTCATTAACTGATTAAGGTCCATCTTAAGAGTCACTAAGCACTGACATACTAGACCAAAGTAAAGCCCATCTTTGTTGAGCATGTTGTGTGTGAGAGAAGTCAACAGCAATGCTTAAAGAAAGAGCACAAGAAACATGTATGGAGTCATCCCCCATAGACTTGCTGAGCTGCCAGCAATCAGCGACTCAGGGTCTTATGGGAGACTGCATCCAGACCAGCATTTTCAAAAGCCATTGGTGGACCACACCTCCATGAATTTGTCTACTCCCTTCTTGAATCCATACATCTGGTCTCCAAAAGTTCTGGTCCCACCGATTAATTATTAGTGTGGGAAAAAGTGCTCCACTTTATCTGGCTTAAATCTGCTGACTGTCATTTTCCCTTGTTATACATTTTGCCCTCTGTGTATTATCTGAAGACCATCCCAGAAAGTCACTCCTCTGATGGCTGATGCTTCTCACTTCAGCCTGAGCCTGTAAGTGGCCAAGCCACTCCTGATGTTTTTGACGCTGGGAAATACACTGGAAGATGCCGAGTTTTCTCTAAAGTCTCTGCAGGAGGACTTAGGACCACAGAGAGCTTCTGTGCCTTCGGTGACTGCAAGAATAAGAGGCAGATATGTTCGAGGACAGGTGAAAAGAAGGGGGAGAAAGAGCAACTTAAGCTTCTCCTTCCTAAAAGCAAGCTCATTAGTCGCTACCACAGAGCAGCTCCCGCCTACCTGCTCCATTGCCAGGGCTGATTTTCCCTAACCCAGCGTGGACTCAATGTATTTCATACCGTATGCTCTACCACCTAGACCACAGCCACTGAAATAAATCCCATTTATTCCACATTTCTAGGCTTCTCACTTACATTACATATCACCTATCCAGATGGAGAAAAGCAGAAGAGAAGCAAGGTGCCTGGCTGAGAAGGCAGAGAACAGAAGCAGCCTGGATGTGCCTCTGATGCACCATGCGTGCAAGAGGGTGAGAGGAAAATGTCCGGAGGCAGCCAGTAGCAAATGACAGAGAAAGGTATCGGGCTGTGTTCTGCTTCTTTAAGGTTAGACCAGGACTCAGAGTAACATCTGCAAGTGGATGACCACAACAGTCCCTTCTAACAAGTGCAGAGGGAGGAGCAGAGCAGGAGACTCTAGTTATTCCCAGACTAAGGAAGGGAATGGTCCCATGGTGCTTACCTGCTGCTTGCTGAGGGAAATGCTCTGGCTCTGACAGCCTAAGCATTTTCTGCTCAGCTCCGTCAAAAAAAAAAAAAAAAAAAGCCCAAATGCCAAACAGGAGTACTTTGGTACATAAACAGTAGAGTACATCTCAGCATTCTAGACTTTACGGGAGCATTACTGGCCATCCGAGATCTCTAGAAACCCATGGTAGCTTAGGGCATGCTTGGAAGATTTCACGTAATGGATGTGTTTCAAGTAGAAGCAAGGTATTTAAGACCTTCTGTGGACCAAAATTTAGTGATGAAGGTACAGCTGTGTTTCTAATGAAATGTATTCCCATGTGGGAAAAATAATCCCAGACTAGATACAAGTTTACAGTTGCCATGGCCTTTTACTACTGTGATGCTACAGCACTATGCTCACTTCGGGAAAAATTTTGGAGGAAAGCCTTTTCCCAGACAACAAACCAACCCCCACCTAAGCCTGACCTTTTCCAGATAAAACCTGGAAAAAAGAAAAAAAAAAAAAAATCTGTATTTTTAGCTAACTCTTTTGGATTCTTGTTAAAAACAAGGGTTAAAAATGAAATTCCACCACAAACATTGTTAAAAATATCACTGCCATCTAATTTTTTTGAAGGATTTTGTCTTTGCCCCTCCTCCCACAAGCTCAAACACTGGCACCTGGTATGGAGAAGCAGAACAGATGTCTGGGGGAGGGCTGAGAGCATGTGTGCCTGCAAGGAGTTAGGCAGCTGTGTGAGATACAAAGGGAATGAATTCAAAAAGGCAACCTCACATGATAAGGAAGAATACGTGACACCTATACATACACCATGAAGAAAGAAGAGTTTTTACTGTGCCAGGTCATTTACAACTGCCCCAGTTGTCCTAAGAGTCCAAGATTCTGGTGAAATATTTATAGCTTTATAAAGTAAACCTACAGGACTGTTAGTTACCTGAGTATTTCAGTTTTAAAGACAGATTAAAACAAAATGCATTGTTGTACTTTATTATTTTTAACTAATTAAAGCAAATTTTTCCACAGACATCATCGCAAACACGTGCTGGTCTAGATCTGTGTGTGCATGGAAATGTCAGATCATGGCACAAGGGAGAGAATGGTTTCCTCTACAAAGCCTCCTACCAGCCAGCAATACATCCATTTATTTATAAACCTACTGCTGTAATATATGAGCACATCATGAATATTTAATCAGTAAAATAATTTCCCTCTCCTTTGCAAAATCAGCATTTTGAACATTTTACTATGTTCCTGGCTTATGCGTGCCTCTCTGTGTGAGCAAACAGAGGCTAGATACATAAGGCTTTCCTTTCTCAAGCTCTGTGTGACGAGGTCCCATGGCTACTCCGGGGCCTGGGAGAGTTGAGTCTCAGACTATGAAAAAAATCCTCTCCTAATGCCAGAGGAAAGTCAGGGGACTCCACAGGTGAGCAGAGAGTATTGTGCAGGCAGTTACAATCAACGACATGGCTGAATATTAAGAGCAAGGGTTTATGCATTTTACCCTGCGTTCAGCAGAGAGCTGGCAGGACAGGAGGACGGCTGGACAACATCCTCCTTCTGACCTTGGGACTCTGGACAAGAATGCACAAAATTCGACATCCAGGGCTCTGCAGCTCCAAGTAACAAGCAAAAAAATCATGCCCAGGGAACAAAGGAAAGTAGATCACATCAGATAGTTCCCAGCAAACAGAAGATCTTTGCCTCCAGTGGGGCTGAGCGTGAATTTTTGAGGACATTTCCACTGCTGTTTATCATGTAAAAAGTGAAAATTTCTCTTTAGGCAGAAAAAGGCATCCAAATGTATTAAAAAAAAAAAAAAGCCTTTTGACTACGCCAATAAAATGGACATGTAATCTTATGCAAATTCTTTTATCTGTAAGTATGTGTTTCTATGCATTTTCAATACTAGGTATCCCAAGCTGGCATAAAATGGCACGTCCTGTATGCTCACTATTCATTGTGAATGAATTTTCTAATGTGGCTTTTCTATAATTGCTGGTAGATTAAGCACCTAAACCAACAAGCATCGAAGCCACGTGTTCATCAGACTACTACAAAGAACAACACAGTTCCTCAAGGATTTCACCGAATTAATAAAAGCTACAAGATGAACTCTACAACCAAAGGGCAGTGACACAACCCACACACGCACACACATGGAGGTTAGGAATCCACGTGGCCAAGGGGGTAGTGTGAGATGGCTGCCTGAAACCTGGGACATGAAAAGTCAATCTCGTGACCCCCTTTCTTCATACCCCTCCAGCCTACCAATCCCCTCCCAAGAAAATAAGCAGACCATTGCAGAGAACATTGCTGCACAGTACTGAAAAAGAAATATATATATGTTTTAAATCTCTAAGATGACCACTTCAGGCATGCAGGATAAGAAAGCCTTTGACTTCACAGCCCGCAGGGATGCCAAAGACGAATAAAATCAACATAGTACCAAGGTAGACATAAAGCAATCGATCTCTGAGTTTAAAGCCACAATAAATTATTTGACATCCGTGAATCTGCCAAGAAAGCTGCTCGTCTAGAAGATCCAGAGGAATGAGAGGGAGGAGGGAGAGAAAGAGAGAGTGT